TATAATGCTACTGAAAAAGACCTTTTTTTAACAACCCCTTCCTTAAAATATTACCTGTCTAAAATTTGAATTCCTAGTAACTCCCCATCTCTATTAAGCCACAACTCCATTTTTCTCTTTAACCTCTAAAGTTCATTATTTATAGAAGTTTTATGGATTTTTTTTTTTGGGCTGAGTACCATCAAATACTGAATATACTTATGCATTTGAAAGACTGCATTTATTCCTATTTAATAATTTACATAGTAAACTAAAGAGATACATTCTGTATGTAATGCTACACATTAAATCTGGGGGATCAATAATAAGAAAAATTATCAAATTGATAACTTGCAGTTGGCCCTCTGGAAGATTTGATTAAACTCTTATAACTCCCTGTTAACAGTTCCTCTCTTATACGCCCCTGATTTGCAGCCTGGTAAAGTCCATATGATTCTTAAGTGCCTCACAGTATCAAAATAAATTAGGTCAGTCACGATGCTCCTGTCTGTGAGCATGATTCAGGGTGAGCCTAGTGTTAATATTTATCTCAAAAGTCAGAGAGATCTTTCCCCTGATTTAAATTCTAATCTATTCCTTTTCTTGGATAAAAATTGCATTTTCAAGTGATCTACACAAAATAATCACAGGGGAATGTAAAAAGATTAGAAATAAAATATGGGTGATCAAATGTGATCAATGCAATGTAGTCATATTAGTACTTACTGTTTTCAACATGCATACTTGCTCTTTATAGGCTCCACAACAACCAAGGAAACCAATAATTATGACAAGGGCTCCAGCACCAATCAATACATAGCATGCTGTGGAGTAATCATGACTTGACAACTTCATGTAATCACTGAACTGAATGCGAGCCCAAATACCCACAACAAGCAGGCCACCTCCTGTAAGCTGAACAGGTTATGTTCAAAATTAGGAGCTAGTCTTGGTAGAGAAGGAATATTGCACATTAAAACAATGTGAAAGCCACAAAATGATTTTGTTTCTTTGTGGATTGGGCTGGTTAATTTCAACTACTCCATTATCATCTGAGTGGTAAATTTACCTGAATTTCTTTCTTGCATGCAGCTCACACTTGACCCTGAGTCAAAATTTTCATTACAAATGACAACAAGCACAACCTTTGGCCCCCTCATATCAAATTTGTTCATATTTTGGCCTTAGGGATATTGACTATTCCAGTGTTTTGTTGCTATTGTAGTGTTTGACTGTTTTTGCATGGTCCTATTTCACGGGTAACAATGTTGAAAGCCCCATCAAGCCCTCAAAAGTCAGGCATATGAAATAGGGTACATCTACATTCAGTTTAGATTTGCTTTCCAGAGTGACCTCACGATTAACAGTTTCGAAGATCAATAGTTTGATTCTGAACGTTGTTGAATTTGAAATAATCATTTCAGTCTCCAATTACCAACACGTACTAATAGCTCATTTGTACATCAATACTTAGCACTGTTCATGATAAATGTTTTTGTAAGGTACATTTTTTTTAAGCAGTCCTTCCAAAAACTATATCTCACATATTTGTGTGCCATATTCTGGCCATACTTATATTATATCGCACCAGAACTAACAGTAATACTGAAAACGTCACATGAATCACGACTGTGACACCATGTTTCTCCACCAGACACAATTTCTTCACTATTCTACTTGCTCTGTGCACACATCAAAATACCAGATTCGAATCGAGAAAAAGCCAACCTATCTAGATTTTCTATACGCTCTTAAGTTTATCTCTTAAGTTTTTGGACTTTACAGCCACCTCTCGATTCAAAAGTTTACGCAAGATGTCCGTCTAATTGAATTTTTTTTATTTAAATAACAATGGGTAAAATAAGGCGACTTTCTCAGCATAACTGAGACTAACTGATGCATAATCCTCCTAATCGGTGAAAGTCTGGTTTGGGTATGAGCTTCACTTGAATGGCGTTTATATGATTTTCTTTATGACTACGCTTTACCTACCCAGAACAGACCATTGAAGACGAACAACATGCATCGAACGCACTGCATGCAAGGCCCAAGTTTTCCCTCTCCCGCCATTTGGTGTTTATCGGCGGTAATATCTATAACAAACACTGACCGTAATACCTTTACGCGTCTAATCTGCCACGGTAAAACTGAGCATGCTTTCACAGCACCTTCATACCCAGGGTATTCTCGGTTTTCAAAATGGCAGAATGTTGCTGCAAGCAATGTAACCTAGCCTACTACAATAGTGACACGAGTCCCACACAACACATGCACAAAACAACACAGCGGTCAAATACTGCGGATGCACGAGAGGTTGAATTTCCGAACGCGTGCCTAATTTAAAGTAAGTCAAGCAAGGGACAGAATATTAAATTCCTAACTATTCCAATGCGTAAGACAAATGAAAATAGGATTTTGAAGAAAGATTAAATCTTTACTTTATTTTATTGTGAGATATCTTTACTGCTTTTAACGCGGACGCTTCGTTTCGGTGATAAGGGAAAGTGACAGAACCTTTCTTCTACTCTTGCCGCACAGTCCACCGTCCGCCATAAAAATAGACCTGTGACCGTCACAAATATCTTGTGTGGCTCTGGTTCTTCATTTTTTAACACATTTCCTCAGCAACTCCACCATGAAAACAACAAAGTATAACAACAACTCTTTTATCTTAGTTTTGGAGGTGCACTAAGCACTGAAAGAAGTGTGCAAGAAAAAGGAAGGACCAGGGCCTCAAAAGACGTCACCGAAACGAAGCTAATGAAATTGACAATCAATGCTCCTTCCACCTTGTGACATCTTGAACAATTCATACGTCCTCACTACTCTACCGACCGGAACAACTTTATCAAGTGGTAGATAAACTAAGCAGAGAAACGTCAGCTTGTTATCGGCCAGGAACGAAGTGGTGTACTAATTGCCGTCAAACTAGAGAGAGTATTCTCCAAGACACAGTCCCAGAACAATACAAAACATCAGCAAAAAGAGAGGTACATTTGTAGCATTGTAACTCTTATCTTTAGGAATGTAAAAGTAAGATTACTTGTGGTATGTAACCTGTCTCCTTGGTTGCACATGTATTAACACTTACTACAGATATTGCAGCACGAATCTCCTTAGTCCAAAAATATAACCTTCTTCACAGAGTGAGGAGAGTGACCTCATTCTGTCCAATTCTCAGTGTGGCATATCGACCGACCTCACAGTTACGGAAGAAACCGTGCCTTGGGGTCCATTCAGTGTAATCTTGGAGTATCCCGGTACAGAGCGAACTGACTTTTCATACTCAGCGAGTATTTGTTTGCATTCCTTGACCTTTTCTGTAGAATTTTCTTTTTCCAAGACCATCTTGACTTCCTTAACTTTGATTCCAGCAAATTTCTGAACTCTTCTCATCAATTTTGAAAAGACTTGCTTCTTCTTGATCTGTCAAAAGGATTCCTCTCTGAAATGGCGCAACGGTGCATCGTACGTTTTGTGATTTGCAAAAGACTTGGCTTTTACAGGAGGCGTGTTCTATGGAGTTATGCCTTGATTGTGTGAAACAAACAACTTCTTGTTGTTCCACAAAGGCTGACAACAGAATTCCAATTGTCCCCATAGCCAATGATGCGTTGAACATTTATCGCACATAAACCTATATCCGTCATATTTGAGCTGTGCATTATGTATTCTCTTGGAATGTGAGTCTGCCAGGAACACAAGCTCTCAGTCAACTAACGCTGTTACAGCAGTAGCAGCGGAGGAGTGAAGAGGAGAGGGAGGTTAGATCGGGTCGGGTAAACCAAACCTCCCTAGTGTTTTCACTCCTCTGTTACTAAAGCGCTGTTTAGTATCGCACTTCAGTTAACTAACTGCTTGTCTGAAATTGGCTTATATAGCCAGTAGAGCTCCATGTTAACGGGCGTGTAAATATTAGACTATTTTCACCAAAATGACAATTTTATCAAATGAGACCACTCTAAGTGGTTGGATCATTTTATATAGTAAGATCATTTAAAGCAACTGGTAATCTTGGTGATTTGCCAGGGGAAGCTTCGAATTGATCAACGTACTCAGTTGCACACCCGTCGGTTTACCAGGTAATTGTGCTCTAGCCGAAAACTCTTAAAATTACAAGACAGAAAAGACCAGGAAATATTTGAGACCAAATCTTTATTCATAGAAGCTCAGAAGCGAAAAATGAACGAATTTCTTGCATACACGAGACCGTGCATTGAATCGTTGTTTCCTAGAATTTACAACCACAAAATTGCGTATGTTTGGGTTGAAGATTTTGAAAATTCTGAAATTTTACGGTTTTAAAATTGATATTTTATTGAACATTACTTTCAGGACATATCAACACTTGAAAACAGTATCCACCGTTCGAACAACGAAGCGAAAACTTAACAAATTTCTTGATTCAAGAGACCCGTGTGATAGATTTAGCATGCTTTAATTTTTGTTTCCTATAATTTACGACTACGAAATTGTGTTGAAAATTCTAGAAATTGTATTATTTAAAATCAAATCTTTCCTTGAAGAACACTATTGGGAAATATCAACACTTCGTAATGATATTTATCGTTCGCAAGAAGAGTGCGCAAGGTCGCAAAGCCTTGACTGAAGTCAGAAAGCTCAGTTTTGTTTGCAGCTATAATTTGCACCGCCTTTGGGAATGAAGTATTAACTCCAAACTGATTTCGTCGCTTTTTCGCTTCTTATTTTCTGAAACAAGTATTATTTAGCATATTTATTTTAATTTTCCAGCTCCAAGAGGTCTATCTTGACCAGGATGGAACGGAAATACTATCTTGAAAGTTTTGAAGCCTCACGGCTGAACTCGACGGGACCTTGCAGCCGAAGTAACATTGCATAAGTCACGCTATGAATTCACGGTGGGGCTTACAACATAAGGATTTTTACCATAGTAGCTCCTTGGGAAATGTGTAGGACTCGCGCCCAAGATATGTTATAAAATCAGTTGAACCATATCAACTGCTTGAATAATTTTAACCTGATGGATCAATGTAATCTGTTGAACCATTTTGGCAGTGGGACCATTCCATCTCTAGTAGTAAGATCATATTTACTGATAGGACTATATTAACCAGTTTGACCATTTTCTCTAGATAGGATTAGGACTATATTAACCAGTTTTAACATTTTCTCTGGTTAGACTACTTTACCAGTTGGACAACTTTATCCAGTTAGACCATTTTAGTCTCTTGGACCATTTTATCTGGTTTTGACCATTTTAAACGGTTGGATCATTTTGTCTAGTAAGAACATTCTCAGCGATTTGGCCATTTCTACCAGTTGGACCATTTTCTCTAATTTAAAGATTTACTACTGCTTGGACCATTCTATGCAGTTAGACCATTTCCATTAATTAGACCTTTATCAAGTTAGAGCAATTCTACCAGTTGGACAACATTATTCACTAGGCCCATTTTAATCTATTCGACCATTTTATCTGCATAAGTGCCAAAATTAGTTGACACATCACATTTGTTGAATGTTGTATGTAGAATAACGCTTCTGTTTCTACTACACTCGAAATCATCGACAGGACCCCCCACCCCTCCCCATTCAATGCTGCCCGTATGTCGCTAAAAGTTCTTGAAATCACTATTCATTTCTTTTGGAGGGGAAGGGGCAAAAGAGATAAAGTTTTAACCCGCTGGACCATTTTTTCGTTACTGTCTTAGACGTCGTTAATTTCGATTTGAAACTCAACCCCGGCCCTGACAATAGTAGAATAACTACATTTGTTTCTCTGCGTGACGATACTTCTCTGCGTTCATTGCCTTGCGTCATTCAAACTCCCAATTTTACCTTTAATAGGAGTTTCGCTGCCAGTGATATCAACGCCGGGTGTGTCTGCAAGAACGCTTTCATCATTAAGGATTTTGTGGCTGATTATAGGGTGGATTTACATGGAATTACAAAGATATAGCTGCATATAGATGGTGACCACGTTACAATCGTCGAGCTTTGCCCTTGTGGTTTTCGACTGGCTCATACCTCTAGTCGGTGGGGGAGGTGGCGTACGCTTACTTTTCAAACACGAACGAGTGCCAAGACAAGAATAAATGAACATTCATCTTTTTTTTATGCGAATGTATGGATGTCTCTTTCATTTCTTTAGAGTAATTGTTGTCCGTCATTCTCCAGACGGTGCACGAGTAATTCTCTTCCTTGAGAGAGTTTATCGGAGGAAATTACGGTATGTATTGAGGAAATTCTGATGATGGGGCGATTTCAATTTCCATATGGATGATTTAACGGACAGGGATGCATAAAGGTTCGGTGATTTATTGGAATTTTTTTATTACCTCTAGACTGTTGTACCATATAGTAAGTTGTTATAGTCTTCAAGCTTTTCATCAAAAGTTCATTTTCTCACTGAGCTTTTTTGTTTGAAAATACATATCCTTGCAACTTTTGACCTCGTGCTTACATTTTTCTGTTGGAAATTAATTGTAGAAAAAGAGACTCACGATCGCAAGTTTGTCTTCTTTTATGTAGGTGCAGTCGTTAACTCAATCGAATTAGTTTAGCTTAGCGCACAAAGTGACGTTTATTTTTCAGATTTTGCCTTGCAAAAAGTGTTAAATCGGTGTCAGTGGCGTAATACACCGATTTATTCTTAGCCTCAACATCCGGGGCAACTCACATGCTTTTCACTGTCTTCCGTTGAACCTTACCAAGGTGGGGTAGAGAATTTGAAACGGAAGTGTCATGTGGTGGTTTATCTTTTAACATGGAGTTACTTTGAACGATTAGTTCAGAAGATAGTCTACAAGGTGTATGTCTTGGAGCTTTAATAGTTAAATCAATAGCTGGTCAATGATTAAAAAGTCACGGTCTTTGATATTACCTTTTACAAAAGATGTGACAATCAGATGAGTGTCTCCATGGGGAAATGGCTAATTTTTTGCCATTTTACAGCTACGGCTAACCCCATTGAGACCCATTCAGATCTGGCTCTTTCAGCAGAGCATTTGAAAGGGCTAATGCATTTCGGTCGAAATATTTACCACGGGGGCTTTCAATGGGGTGGAGGTGAGTCTCTGAGCTGAGCTAATTCAACTAGTTTATACATTTTTTTTTAGTCGAGCTTACTTAAGCATTTTACGTGGTTGAA